ATGTAGTTTAGAAATCTTTAATGTAATTACTTTTATTATTTAATAAAGTTTCTACTTTGGCATAACAAAAAAAAAATAATAATAATATAACTACAAAAACTTATAAAACTCTTAATAAAAATTATATAAAAAGATCTTTTGTATATTAAATAAAACAGACTATATAAAACAAATATTAAGGATAATATATTTATAAATCTAGTAACTAATTATTATCTATTGTATATACTGATTAAATTATATTTTAACTAAATAATATATTGTAATATATATTAAAATAATAACTTAATTACTAGATAATATATATATTTAAATCTATTTGCTAGTATGTATAATTTAAATACATATATTATATAATAATTAAGTTATTACTTTGCTATATATTACAATATATTATTTGATTAAAATACAATTTTAATTATTAATAATCATTATATTAAAGTATATACCAGAAGTTGACTAAAAAAGAAGCTAAAAATAAATACATATTATTAAGTAAAAGAGTTTGAAAACTCTATATAAATTTTAAGTTTAAATAAATTAGATAATTTTTTTAAAAATAATAAAAATAATCTGAGCTTATTACAAATTGAGATTTTTAAAAGCTTTTAACTAGTTTTAATAAATTTTTTAAAGGAAACCAATTTTGTTTCTTAATGATTTTAATTATATGTAGATATTTTTTTTTAGTTTTATTAAAAAGTACAAATATAATTTATACTATTACTAGTTTTTATAGAAGTTCTATGTTTTTAAATATTGTAATTAGTGGATATAAAAATAATAAAGAAATAAATTAATATAGCTTGATATATATTGAACAGTTACTCAATTCAAATTTTTTTATTAAAATTTGTCTAATAATAGTAAATTAGAATTCTAAGTAAATGATATTTTGAAAATAAATTAATAATATAAATATTATTTTAAAATACTTTTTATACTTAAATTTTATTAAACAAACTAAAAACTACTAGTATTTACCTTAGTTTATTAATATAAGAAAGTTGATAAATTATAAAGATGTTTATAGTTGTATACTATTAGATAGCATTGATAGAACAGTGCATATAATTGAGATTTAATAAAATAAATAAATATTTATTAAATAATTTTATTTTCTAATTTAAAGTATATTGATATTTAAAGTATATATTATGTATATTATATTTTGATAAATAATAATAATTTGATAAATAAATCAATTTAAATAAAATTGAAGATAATTAATTTTTTGCTAATAATAATAAGTATTGATTTAAATAATTTTAAAGATAATCAATTTTTTGTAAATAATAATATGTATTAATTTAAATAATATTGATAATAATCAATTTTTTGTTAATATCAAAATTAATTTTAATATATATCAATTTATAACTACTCTGCTGATATATATTATTATATTTTAGCTAATATATATTAATTATTTAATATATATCAATTAGTAATTATCTAAAAAATTTTCAGATACTATTACACATTTTAAAGTATATTACCTAACTATAAGGTTCCAGAGAAACCTCTTATTAACTAATTTATTTACTTCTATAGAACATTAACAAGACTTGTCCTAGCAGAGTTCAACCAAACTACAATAACAACTTCACAGCATATCTTTAGTACTTATAGTATACTTCTCTTTGTTATTTAACTCCAAATCCAAATAACCTAGTAGAACTATAAAAGATATTGTATTATAAAATTTTAACACTAATTTGTTTTTAATATAAAATATGAACTCTTTTTCTTAAAAATTATGTTATAGAATATATGATTTACTATATTCTATAATATGATTTTCAAGGCAAACCCATATAATAAAAAAAGATTTTATATAGCATAAAAGAACAAATTTATAAAAGTTTAGCTGTGTAATTCTTAATATACCAGCTTTTAAGAATTAGAACTTTAATTTTAATTATAAATTGGATTATACAATAAAAGAACAAACAATTTGTCAAGAATTCAAATAGCAAAAAGTATAAAAGAAAATCAAAAAATTTAAGTTCTAAAAATACCAAGTCAAGAACTTTTATCGTTCTATCATTTCTGAGTTCTATATTTGTCTAATTATAATATTAAGATTATCAATTAATTAGTAAAATTAGTTAATTTTTATCTATTACATTACTAATTATTAAAAATATTACTTATAAAGGTTTAGTAAAAAAAATGAATTAAATTTTTTTTGCTGAAATGGTATCAAGAGGTTTATGTAGTTTGACAGAAATCACTTAACAGATAAGTTTCTTTTCCTTACCTAAACCTCTAAATATGATTGATAAATTCATGCTTTGATTTTTCAAAATTCTAGAACCTATTTTTCTTAGTTACAGGAAAAATGGTATAATTGAAACAATAAAATACTTGCCCACCAAAGAATCTCTTGCAGTGTAGGTGTCACCTATTCTAAAACAATTGATTAATAATAAATTTTTATTTATGGTGTCACCTATACTGCACAAGACCCTACAAAAAGATATATAATTAAAAGTTCAGTTGCATATTTAAAATTTCAAGTGCTGTTTTTATGTTCGGGCGTTTTTCAGGATCATTATCCCAGCATTGTTGATAAAGTTTGATATATCGAGAAGGTGTGCCATCTATAGGTTTTTCTCTCTGTCCTTGAGCAATACGGATGCCAACAGCTTCTTTGGACCTAAATGACCTAAATGGTTTTACGCCACTAGAGATTTCCCAAAGAATTACTCCATAGCTATAGATGTCAGAACTTGAATCACGTTTATATTCACTATCAATAAAGCATTGTGGGTCAACAAATTCAGGCATTTTATCTGCTCGTGAGTCTGATACAGATGTTTCAGCGACTGTCCGTTTTCCCCAAACAAGATCTGCAATAACTGCAATGTCTTCATGGATTAAAATATTCTTAGAATGCTACAAAAAAATACAACCTATTATAAAACAGTTGAATGTGAAGTATTCGAAGAATTTATAATTAAAAAATGTATTTACAAGATATTTATGACATATATTATTATCATGTAAAAATTTAAGACCCTCTGCTATGCCTTTTGCTATGTGTAATTTATCTTTCCATTGAAGTTTTTTGAAATTACGTTTTAAATAATCACGTAAATTTCCACCGTTTGCAAATTGTTGAACAATCGAATAAAATTTAGTTTTAACATCTATTAAGGTGCGAATCATTAGATTAAAATTTATATATATACACTAAATGACAAATGCGTACCTCTGGTTATCCCGTATAAATTATTTAAATTTGGATGAAGAAGACTTAGTCTTTGTAAATGTTTGAACTTATATATCATATAATATATAGAAATAAGTTAAACTCCTTAAATATTAGGTCAAAGTTAATTTTTCGTTTTGCATTGTTTTAAAGGCTACTTTCATAGTTTAACAAATATGGTTCAAAACATTAATACTTATTTAATCAAAATGTAAAGAAATATAAAAATATATAAGAATTACTTGAGAATTCATAAAATGGAATAATATTGGATCATTTCAGGGGTAGGTAATCAACGAACACAAAATACGAGTCTGATTGACGAGAAGTATGACAATTTACCTAGTAAGCTACATAGTTTTTGAGATAAATGAAAAAATTACTCAAGGGAGAATCGATAAGTTTCAAATTCGGCAGACATCTAATTCCAACTTCGTAACTTATCGATACGGGATTTTGATAATACAAAATTTTTGAATTTGTTAAGTTGCTTTCATGAATTTTGAGACACCTAAAATTTGCTTGTTTCCCGAAACCTTTTCGATCTCGTTTTAAGAATTATCTAATTTTCGGAAACTATTCTGCTGTCCTTGAAACTTTGATACAGAGGCAGCAACGTAGTTTACGTAAAGTTAGGTGATTTTTAAAACGAGACGAAGAGGTTCCAAAGAACGAGTAAATTTTTTAGTGTTCATAATTTATGAAAATAGCTATAAAAAACAGCTGTAAAAAATGAATACGTCGAACCGGAACTTCAAGTTTCAGGTAATACAAAACGAAAAATCGGCACTTTGTGACTTTATAATTAGATAAACATTAATAATACCTCATTCAAAATTTCTTTGATTATATTCTCGTCTAAGTTTGAATCAACATCAAAACTTTTATGAAAAACTATTAAATCATTCTTTTGCCACTTATATTTATGCACCAAGCTATCCTCGGCGGAATCCACAAGTTTAATAAATTGATGGCCATCTATGTAAATATTTAAGTCTGAAATTGTTTTCTCGAATGGTTCAATCCGAGAACTTTCTATATGTTTAGTAAGGTTATCTGGTTCGGAATTCATATCATCTAATTTGTCATGGACTTCTTTTATTTCTGGACGTTTATTTGGATCAACATCCCAACATCTCATATAAAGTTCAACATATTTCGATGGAGTATTTTCTTCAGGTTTTTCTCTATTTCCCAAATAAATTTGAATTGCGATGGCCTGCGACGATGTAAAGGATTGAAAAGGTGGTCTACCGCTCGTAATTTCCCATAGAATTACACCCAAGCTATATATGTCAGATTTTTTATCATATGGATAATGATGGTCCCTGAAAAGTTGTGGCTCAACATATGCAGGCATTCCCATAATATTTTTGGTTGAAATTATTGGTTCATCGTTTGTTTTGCATGATAAACCAAAATCAGCAATTAACATTATATCATCATGGACCAAAATATTTTTTGAATGCTATAAATATGTAAAACTTGTAAATTTTATAAAGATATAACGTTTATAAATCACGAAACATACTTACAAGATCTCTATGAACGATGTTCTTGCTATGTAAATACAGTATTCCTTGAGCAATTTGTTTTGCCATACGTAGTTTATCATTCCATTGTAGTCGCTCAGAATTATTTTTTAAATATTCTCGTAAGTTTCCGCCGTTAGCATATTGTAAAACTATCATGATATCATCGGAAGGACCTAATTTTCAAAATGTTCGTCAATTAGCTGGAATGATAATGGACTTTATACTAAGTGAAAAATACAAACTTTTAGTAACACCATAAAATGGGTTAATATTTGGATGATAACCTATTGACTGTAATGTCTGTATCTGTACCAGCACAAAACACATAATTATACGGCGTTTTAATAAAATATTTTATTAATAATCAGATTACAAAATAAATTTATCCGACGGCAGAAACCCGGAACAATTTGGATTTTATAATATAAATTTCAAATTCTATAAATAAAATAATGCACAAATGCTTACGGGTTTCTGTACGGCAGATATACGGTTAGGTATGGGTTCGGTCACGAACGGTCACAATCATTCATAGTCAATTTGCTAAATACTGAGATGATTTTTTACTTTTGAGCT